CCTAGTCAGGTGATCAGGTCATATGACCAAGGATGAGGTCATATGAGGTCATGCACAGCCATGCACAGCAGGTCACCTGACCATCCAATCCTTCCAGCAGGTTCCAGCACATGCCAAGGTATACCAGCTACTTCCATGTCATAAAGGCTTAGTCATGTCTCTTGACCAAGCAATGAGCTGGTGCCCTGACATCACCTTCATCAGTCACAACTCTTCTGCTTTCCATCTGCTCAGCACCCCTCTTCACCAGCACTCAACATCATGGCCATCCCTGCAAGACACCTTTGAAGCCACCTGCTTCTTACTTCTGGCTAGTACCATCCCTCCATATGAGGGGCATGAAGACATCTCAAATGAGATGTGTGAGGGCACTAGGTCTAGCAAGGTTGCCACACACTAATCCCAAACAATAGATGAAGTGCTGGGGGGTCTACTGTGGTTGAAAGCGGCTCTAACCAGCAGTACTAGTTGATATCCAAGTCACCAGGGCCAGCTGGATTATTGGGGGGGGTCCAAGGGGGTCACTGGGGGGTCCCAGGGGGTGTTGTAAGTTGGTTATGGATAGCTGAAAAGTGTAGCAAGAGTTGTGGAGTCAAGGCAAGTTTATGAGGGCAGTGTGTCCAGGTGTGTGTAGAAGGGGGTTCAAGACAATGAGATGACTTAGAAACTGCTTGTAGACTAAGGAGTTTCCTCAGAGATCAGATCTGAGGGATACAGCATCACTATGCTACTGTTTATATACCTTGTAGCTACTCCCCAGAAGCCCAGGAGTCCAGGTAAATTCTGGGGGCTCCTACAAGTGTCAGATAGATGTCTTAGCAACACCCCTGGGCCCTTGAAACCTTTCCAATAAATTGTGGAGACTCTTACAAGTGTCACCTTGTGTCTCACTAGTCCTGGTGGGGTGTCAGGGTATGCCAAATTCAGACTGATTCAGACCAACATTCATGCACCAAATGCCCAGCAAACCCTGATTTGGATGAGAAGTATGTGTTGAAGCAGGGAGGGGTTGACTAGATCACTGATTCACCATTCATGTCCTGTTTGACACTGATTTGGTAATGTACAGTTCCTCAGCCACAGTTCTGCTTCCCTTTTGCTTCCTTTTTTGGATAGACATATATACCCAGCCAAAGGGGCCTTATGCCCCTTAGAGCTGATCTCTCAGGAATTCCGCTTTGTCAAATTGTGCATTTGTAGGTGTGAATCGAACTGAAGTCATTGGTCTCTACCTCTGAATCCCCCAAACTAACTGTTCACTGAGATTGACTTGTACTGTCTTGGGTGTTATCCCATTTGACTATTGTTCATCTTTGTCTACTTGAGGCTCATCTGAACCACTCCAAACCATGCCCCTTTGTGGCTCATCTCTTATTTGGGTTACTGGTTGAATTGTCATCTTGCTTTGACAGCATGCCCTGACATGGGGGTCCCTAGCATTGCTATGTCTTACCCCAAAGTGTCTGGACACAGCAGTCTTGTGGTATCCTCTTCATGATGTCTTGTTTGGTCATTGCCATGATCCCATGGTAGTCCCCAACACAGGAGGTTCCAACATCTTGCTGTTGCATTGCTTCTAGGGTGAAATGGGAGGCTAGGGGTGGCTGCTAGCAGTGCCCTGATAGCAATCCCATGTCATGTTAGGTGTAGGGTTAGGGTTAGAGAATTCCGTGTGCTAAGTGGAGAATTCGGAGTGATAGGAAGAGAATGTTGTGTGCTAAGTGGAGAATTCCAAGTGCTAAGTGAAGAATTCCGTGTGCTGAGTGGAGAATTCCGTGTGCTGGGAGAAGGATTTTGTTGTGCTAGGAAGAGGGCAAGAGCACAGTGCCCTGACAAGATGTCATCCAAGGATCATGTCTCTTTATGCAAGGGACACAAAGACATCTCAAATGAGATGTCTGAGATGTCATCTAGGCTTGTCATTCCTCCATGCGAGGGACACAAAGACATCTCAAATCAGATGTCTTCATTCAATGTTGTTTTTTCTAATGTACATGTGCAAGAGTTTTTTTCATTACTTTCTTCTTAGTTGGAAGTACTATAATAGGAAGAGATGAAGGGATGATCAAACAAAATAATTGAGGCCCTCCATGCCTAGCCCTGCCCATCTTGTCTTGTGCTTTTATGTCCATCTCTGCCCAAAGTTGGCTCTGCATGTTCTTGTTGTTGAACGGCACCAAACCATACACTCAGCAGTACTTGTTGCATGGATGCTGCTGCTTGAATGCGGAGAAGGCATGTCCAATGTTGCCATCTGTGCAAATCTCTTCTTTGATCTCCCAAAGAGGATATAAGGTTAGCAGGAACTATTCCCAGTTGTTCAACAGGCCTTACAGAGCTGTCATGATCTGTGGATCAGTCAACAGGCCACCATAACCTCCAGGGGGCTCAGTTCAGCTGGATGAGGATCGAGATGCACCTTGGAAGTTGCTGACAAACAACTGTCCACCACTGATGTGGTACTGGAGGTGCTGCGAGAAGGCGAGGAAATAGGCTATTTCCCCTTCTGGGCCAGTGTGATATTGTGGTTCAGTGCTTGCATTGTGAATATACTTAATAAACCCACCTTCTGCACCATTCATGTCAATGAGTTCCTCGACCAGGTAGACCAGAAGATGTCAGGTTGCCTGACCCTTCTCTTTTGGTGGGTTTGGCAGCTGAATGTGGAATAGGCCACTTTCAATGAACTGAACTTTGGGGAAGATGGTCATGGCAATTGTGTTGTTTGGTCTGGCAGTGCTCTTTGTGTGCTTGATCAACTCATACACTTTCATTGTAAGAGCACTTGCCCACATCAAGCATGTTGCCTCACCAGCTAGCTTCTTCTCTTCTGCATCTTTATCCACCTGGACCAGCTTGTCATATGATAGTGGATTGCCTGCTTCTCCACTGTAGAGCATGCTCTGCAGACATACCAGCACTTGAGCACCACCTGAACTCATTCATTGACCTTGAATGTGATGTCTTGAGCAAGGCTTGGCTCCCATGCTGACTCATGCAATACAAGCAACCTGGGATGAGCCGTCTTGAAGGCCCCAGGATTTCCAAGCACCATGCTTGGGTGGTTGTCAGAGTTGACCTCGACTGTCTGGCAATCCTTCAGCCAGTCCACTACGAATCGTGCCTTCTCAGCTATCAACTGATCAAAGCTGATCAATGGAGTTGCAAGGAATAAGCCCATTTCCCTGTGGACACCTTAATACCAAATCAGCTCACATTGTAGGATGTGGTTGGGCTGTTAACTCACCTTGTGCGAGCCTGCCACTCTCTATTGATGCTGCACTACTCACCAAGGTGGCTCGAATTGCCTCAAGATCAGGCTTGGGGATCTCAGGGGGCTGAGTTCCCCATCCCTGGGACATGCTGTTGGTCCATTTCGACAAGTTACTTTTGTTTGAGATGTCTTCATATCTCTCACACAGCCCAAGAGACACATGACCTTCTTTCAATGCTCTTCCCTCCTCGTGTCTGCCTTGAGGATGCTTAGCAGGGTGTAGCAACTGGGGATCCTACACACTCTTTCAGTCCAAGGCCTATTTGAATAGTGGGCTAGCTAACCTCACTGCCTCAGCATCCTTGTTTAAGCCCCTCTTCCTAACCTGAGGCCTTCTTTTTTCTCCCTCCGGCTCAAATGTTGCAATCAGAGGGATCATGCCTGATACCAAGGTGATGTGGTCCATGACCTGCACATAGACTTCTGCCAACATGATCAAGTGCATGCTGAACATCTTGCCATGCTGAAAGACTGGCCTGGCTGCTGCTGACTTGCCTCAAGGTGTGCCCCAGCACTGGTCATAGAAGAGGGGCTCGTCCAGAGCCCATCAGTCATAGTATGTCATATTCTGGCCCTAAAGCATGAAGTTGGTGACCAAAAAAAGATACCCCTTCATGACCTCCACAAGCTGATGCTGGGTGATCAACAGAATACCTTCTTTGATCTGAGACACCGTGCTCTTGGCGGGCATCTTGTGTCAATCTTGAACATTCTGTGTGCCTGTAAGTCATGGTCCAGATAAGGAGCATTAAGAGTATGTACCATGAATGACCTTGCACCTGCTTGTTCCAAGTTGAAGTGATAGACCCCAAATTTAATGATGATCATTTCAGGCTGCACCTTCATGTAGACCTGTTTTGCTCAACAAGCATGCTCAGTGTGATACTGAGCATGATTGACTGAGTATCCTCTGGCGTGTGGGACACCAGAGGGACCAGTAGAATGGAGGGCTGGGCTGCTGTATGGCTGGGCAAATGCACTGGCGTCAGGCAAAGGCAAACTGCCGATAGCCTGTACATAGGATCCTCCCACTACCCTGCAGTTAGTAAATCTCTGTGTTCATGATTGATGTACATACCGTGTTGTTTGGCTTGATGATTCATCCGATGAATCAGATTGGGGTTGGGGCCAGATAGAATAGAGGCTGGCACCAACCCATGTGCAAACTGCATTGATTCATGAATCTGGCACAACATGTTCAAGGTTGTGTGCTTCCTGCTTTTGTACTTGGCCCAGCAGTTTGTATAGACGGCAACAAGCTTGTGACCCAATTTGTCCTTCATGCGCTGGTATGATTGGCTGGTCCCAATAACGTGGTTGGGACCAGCAGCGCACAGGGCACCTTGGCTGCAGGGGATGGGTGTCACAGCTATGTATGTCATGGCTGCACATGAAAGATGGGAGTTGGCACTGGAGAACATGGGGGTCAGAGTATGGTCCATGATGGGAGTAAGGGGAGCTGACAAATCAAGGGAAGAGGTCAAGCAGTATGGGTTGTTGTCCTCTTTGGGGGATTTAAGGGTGAAAAATGTTGTCCGTGGATCATGCCATTGTGTCCTCTGCCCTCACACAGAAAACATAATTTTTCTGCTCCAATTGGTTGTCAGAGCAAGTTTGGGCAAATACAGTTGCCAAGACATACCAGATGACCAATCACCATTCCCTTGTCCTCTCTCTTTCTTGTTATCACATCTTCTCCTGACATTATTTCATTTGAGATGCCTTCATGTCCTGAGGCACTGATGACACCGATCATATCACAGTGGAGAGAGCCTTTGATCATTGCTGTGGTTGTACATCTTGCAGTGGCCTCACCGTCAATCTTGATGCCTGCATTTGACATGGCAGATGACCATGCAAGCCAGTAGCCAATGAAAATCCTGAGATGATACTTGTTGCCAGTCTTTTGGAGCAGGAGAAGCAAAGAAGACACTTATTGCAGTGTGTTGAAGCTGCCCCTCTGTGGTCAGGTAGTGGATCAATGGAATGGACAGGATTCTCATGGCAGTGCCAAGTCAGGGTCTCGTCCTCATCATCAGAAAGTCTATCTCCCCACACTGCTTGCATCACCACCCTACCCTTGACCATCACCAATATCAATTTGCTGCCCCTCAGTCCAGAGGGTTCCCATTCCCCTGCTGCCATGGATGACAATGAGATTGATTTGAGTTTGCTATGGGAGAACAGCAGCTTGAATGACAATACTTCTTGCAAGAGGAAAGGCAACCAGCATCTCCCAACTGGTAAGTTGATTGGTGCATATCTTCTGTGGTTGCAGTACTGATCAGCTGCACAGTTCCTGATGATGAACTTGTGCCATGGATCAAGGAGTACTGGAGTCATGGTCTGTCTGACACCAACCTTGCAGAGGCAATCAAGAGCAATGTTAATGCAGCAAAGAGAGGGCTAGGTCTCAGGTGTGTCTAACCACTGTCCAACATTTGATAACTTGCTGAGGTTGACCCAGTAAGAAGACAGTTGCCTGCTGGCATCAAGAGCTGGAGCTCAAGAGTGTCTGTCAACAGAGACACACCCTGGATACTATTGGCCCACACATGGAGAGGCTTCGAAGAGAGTACCCCCAGGCCAGCATCAAGCGAGCTCAAGATTGGCTGTGGATGGAGGGCCTCCTGGTATCTCGGTGTATGGTGAGGGGGAACCAATACTCAAATATATCCTTCCAGGCATCTCATCTGTGAGTACAACCACAAGAACCATCTGGAGGATGTGCATTGTCAAATGGGCAAGTGACCTAAGTGCAAGTGATTTGTATCTGCCAGTGTGTTCGATATAGTTGCCCTTGATCAACATGATAAATGGGCCAGACATGGCTTGTTTCTTCATTTAGGCATCAAATGCTTCTCTGGCACTCTTCTGTGGCTTCGAGTTTGGTGGACAAACTCAAATCCATGCCTCATCTTTCATTTCTATCTGGACATGGCTTGAGCTCATCAAGGTCTGCATTCAGTCAAGCTACATGTGCATGCTGACCATTGCCAGGCATTCCATTGATCACCCAAAGTGATCCTGGCAGTGAAAACAACAGTGTTGCCAATGGGCATACATGGCTATGACAACACCTCAATCCCACCCTTGTCAACCAACTCCAACATTGCTGGATGAGGGGCCATACCAATATCAAGCCCAAGATCAAATGGAGTCAACTGCAACAAAAAATTACTCAAGGCTATGAGGACTTATTTGCTGAGGGAGTGAGAATGGGTTGGTATGATTGGGACAACACAATCAAATAGTGAGTTCAAACAAATATCTACATCCTTCACTTCTGACAGCCCCATAGCTATACTTTCCATTGAATTGCCATACCATTTATTCAGCACAAACTCGATGAATATTGCCATATGCACAACACAAGTAAGCCTTGATATGACAAAACAAAAGTCCTGCTGCATGGTTGACTGAACCACATTCTCAACAATCCAAGCAGATTTGATGCCTTCAATTGGAAGGTAGGCCTACTCGACAGGCTGATTGGCTCATCTGATGGGAAGGTATCCTAGATACATGTGGAGGACAATGACCTCCTGGAGGCAGAGCAATTGTATGCCCTGAGCGACCACCCAGTGTTCAAAATGGTGCCTACTGATTTCAACAGAGAAATCACCCATCATTATGCTGCCTTGGGATACCCGCCAATAACAATTGATACATTCTGGTCTATCTATCAATGCTTATGAGACTGTCTGAGAGAATCACCAATGCACCAAGAGCTGATGAGCTCTCTCATATTGTGCAAGGAGCAGGAGATCACTTTGGCGCTCGAGCATATGGATATCATGCCCAGCATACAGTTGGATACCCTGGAAGAGGAGGTGGGATTGTACTTATTTGGGGGCCCTCATGAAGCTGATGAGTCAAATGGGGAGCTCATGCAAGAGGTGGAAGACCTGACAGGATGGTAGGACTATGTAGTTGTACAAAGCATTCCTTGGACCAATGAAATCTTGAAATATGTATGGCAAAATGAGTGTGATTGGGAAAACTATGAGCACAGTCAAAGAGAGGGTCCCTCAAAGTTCCTGTTGATGGGTACATTGGTAAGTAGTAGCTACAGATGGGAGACAACACACTTGATACATGGGTGGCTTAGAAAATACAAACTGGCTTGTGGTTGATGGGGCTGGTAGTGGGAATGATTGACACAACTGGGGCATACCCCTGAGTCCAGTCACACCACCAGACATCCCAACCATGACACCAGTCCTGGTTGTACTGGGTGCTGATGGCTTTGTATGAATCATGGAGGTTCTTGCTGGCTACCACGCCATTAGCATATTGATGCTTGAAGTAGTTGTGTTCAGTAAGCTTGGCTTGCATCTTCATGGTGGATACATGCAGGTCAGCTGGGGGCTGAGCAGGGGCCAATGCCAGCAATGGTGTCAACTTTGAATGCTGTTTGTAGGGGGGTGGAGCATCAATGAAGTTGGGGCAAGACCGGCCAGTCGGCAATGGTGCAGTGGCACTGCAAGCAGAGTGCATGGGAGTGACCTGGGCATGGGGATGCAGAACTCCTCCCTGGAGGTGGGCCTTGGCTTCCATTTTGAGGAAAAGATTGACTATTGCATTGGCTCCATTGACTGGCATGACAGGTGAGGCAGAATATGGGCCACCAAGCCCAGAAACTCCAAGACCATGGAGGGAAGATATGTCTAGCTGATTATCAGTGTGCTGTGCAGAGAATAGGAGATAGAATGTACAGACCAGGGGCTTTCTTGATTTCATTGGACATGTGATCATGTCCCTTGGCCACATGGGCCAATGAGTAGAGATACCCCTTGTCTGGAATCATTGTCAGACAAGTTTTGAAAGCAAGACACAATGGACTGACCAGGGCCCTTCATTGTTATGTTTGAGATGTCTTGTGTCCCTTGTGCTTGTGGGTCCCCAAGATGATATTTCCCTTATCTGGATACAAGGGTTAGTGTCAGGGCACCAGCTCATTGGTTGGTCAAGAGACATGACTAAGCCTTTATGACATGGAAGTAGCTGGTATACCTTGGCATGTGCTGGAACCTGCTGGAAGGATTGGATGGTCAGGTGACCTGCTGTGCATGGCTGTGCATGACC